GAGCTGGATTACCATGGTGGGTGAGATGGGTTCCTCTTCCCAGTTCCCTGATGATGGAAACATAGGCCTCCCCTGGATCCCACCCATTCCTTAGAGCAGCATCGTAACTGGTGTCCGACTTACTGCCTGGCCCTGTGGCCCATGGGAAATCTGTACCAGGACAAAAGAGTCTTCTTTCAAGAGCATATTGGAGGCTGTTCTTGATAATGCCTGAGTAGCATCTGAAGAGAGGCTGCTGGGAGAAGTTACAGTGACCAGTGAATTGGTCCCTGTGCATGTGTCAGCCCCACAAGGGTCTTTTCAGAGAGACCTACCTCCTTAGCCAAGGAGCTTTCTCACTGTGGTGTGAATGCGGTTTGCATGGTGGTCATTAAATAAACAAGTGCTGACAATTTTGCATATTGCCTCAGTGATATTTATCATACCTTCATCAAGGAACTGGAGGGTCATATTTATTTAAATCAGTGGGACCCATACGTTCCCTAAGCTTTGTGTAAAGTGAGTACAATGCCTCGTGCAGCCGGAGTGCTGAGGTGGTCAGTTGGCTTGAGTTGGTCACGGTCTGTGCTCCCCAGCAGAGCTGCAGCTGCAGGACTCTTATTTTTGTGATGTGAAGCATGCCTGGGTGTGTGGCAGGGGGAACTGAAATGTCCTCTGCTGACTTCTTGTACCTTTTGGTTGCTCAGTTTGGAAAAGGGAAACCCTCACTGGGGCCAAATTCATAGGTTTTTCTGTAAGTGAGTTTTGGTCTTTTTCCCAAACTCCACTGGTAATTGACTTCAAGTGGTTGAAAAACAACATGGCTGAACTTGTCAGCCAGAAAAAGAAGATTCCCAGGGAAGGCCAAGAGGCTCGTGTTTAGGTGGAAAGATTTTTCTCAGTGATGGACACTTGGATGCCCACAGGAGACGTAAAGGGCCTTCAGATCACAGGATAAATAGTGAGAAAGCTTCAGGCTGTCAGGGCATGCTACCTGGAGCTACACTTTGATAGAGGGCTGTTCTCTGGTCAGCTCTGCTTTCGGGAATTGGACTTTCATCTTCTCTGCTTGCGTATATTGTTACTTTCATTTTATGCTGTATTTTCTTTGGCTCTTATTTATTATTATTGTTTTAAGAAATTAATTTAATAATATTAAAATTTTTCTTCTAGGTGTTCTAGTTTACTTGTTTCAAAGCTGGCTCAATTCAGGAATCCAGGAGCCCCAAGGCAAAACAATCATGACTTCAGACAAACTTCTTTTCCTTTCCCAAATTTGTATTTGTGGGCTTATTTCTCATACTGGTAGCAGTAGGGAATACAGTGTTTACTGGGAAATTAGAAATGTTTATTGCTTCATAAACATTGGTGTGAAAGGCACCAGCTGCAAATGTACTTGCAAGTACTCTTGGCTGTTGGGATTCTTTGGGAATTGTCCCCAGACTTCTGATTTTGATATTTCTTAGTCACTTTCCAAAGACACTATCAGAAGCACCTCACTCTTGCCTACTCACCTGGGGTCATTGGCAGCTGGTTGTGGACTCATGGGTGGGACTGAGGAGATCCTTGGGAACTGTGGGAGTTTTGTGACTGCAATAGGAAGAGGTGGGGACTTAGAAACTGCCTCTCCATATGGTTGTTGTGCCAGGGCACACCTGTTGACACTGTGGGTTCCAAGGAAGTCCAGACATCAGATGGTGACACCCTCTGTTCACAGCACCTCCCCCAAGCCCTCTTTGTCCATTGATTCAGAAACAACAGGAGGCAGGGAGCCTTGCTTGACAGGATCCCGGAAGTGCCCAGCTGGCCCCTTTGCAGCCAGTGTTTGATGTGTCCACTTCCTGGGAGGGAGTGAGATCAGGGGTCCTCCGGACCCTTCCCAGGAAGTGTACATGCAAATCTGAGGGTGATTCATCATATACCTATCTATGATCTGGTCTAAGATGTGTGCAATTGGGATTGAGCCTTTCTTGGTCCCCAACTGAACTAAGAGTGCTTAGTAAACACAGTGCTCAGGCCCCCAGATAATCCTGCCCTCCAGGTTTCTCCAAGATGCATAAAGTCCCGGCTGTGCTTGGTGCCTACAAATAGCTGAAAACTCAGTTGGAGACAAGTGTAGGTTGAGTGATATGGGTATGAACAAAGCCAGTGTGGTGTGGCTGTGGGTGACCCTGAGAATGAGTGAGCAGAGTGTGGGAGGGCAGGTGTCCCTGTCCTCTGCCTTGTCAGGCCACACCTGGGGTCAGTGCTGGGCATCACCCTTCACATGGGGGAGTGGCAAAGGGAGCTTGGGCAGGAGTGATACACCCAGAAGGAAGGTTGGAGGTGTTCAAGACATGTCATTAAAAAATAGCTGAAGGAATAGGATCTGGACTCTAAAGAGGACCACAGATGTCAGAAGGGGATACAAGCAGTACTGCTAACACTAATGATAGTATCAGCTCACATTTATTCAATGCTTAAACATTTATATGTAGTTCTCAGATTACCCTACCAGGTATGTATCATTATGATCCTCATTTTATAGATGAGAAAAATTATAAGTGAATTATGAATTTGAATTTCATTAGAAGGTGATGCCAGGAAAATGGTGCTTGTTAGCATGAGGCAGGCAGAAAGAGGAGTTTTCTGAGGGAGCTCTCCAGAGGAAGGTGGTAAGGGCAGATGGAGGGGAAGGAAAATAACCTGAATTGAACATATACCATATGCTGGACATGGCTTTGGGAAATTTCCGTGTATTATTTGCTGGTCCTCACAGCTGTGTAAGAACAGAATTATCACTCCCATTTTACAGATGAGGGAAATGAGGCCCAGGGATGTTACATAAATCGTCTGAGACCTTTCCACCAGTAAGTGATAGCCCAGATTTGAATTCAGCTATTTTTGTCTCTCACGTCCATTGTCTTTGCAACTTAAACAAAGGTGACAGCACACAAATGGTCCTGGGGCACAGGTAACAGGCTGGCTCTCTGCTATGCACTCCTAATTCAGCCTGAATTTTACAAGTTCCTATGTTTCATTGCTCATCTCTTCCACTAGCCTGCAAGGAGCATTTGGACAGGGACCACATTTATTTTGGTCAATGCTGTATTTCTAGTGCCCAGAAGTATTTGAAGTAATAGCAGTAGAGATCTCTTATTATGACAGGGTAAGCTAAACAGAAGATAAGAAATCTCCTATTGGGTTGTTAGAAGGGGATTCTTATTAGATTAGGGATGAATTATCGGTAGTTCTAATCCCAGCAGAGCTTCACAATAACCGGATGGAATTTTATAAATGTAGAGTTCTAGGCCCACATCAGGCCCCTAGATTCAGACTCTCCCAGAGCAGGGCCTGGGCATCTGCATTTTGTATCACCCTCAGGTCAATCCTTCTTCTTGGCCAGGTGAGGAAGCTCCCTGGGATGCAATGGAGTCTAGGGCTGACTCTGCATCATGGGTTCTGAGCATTCTTGGACACCCCTCCCTCTTCCCGCTGCCTCTCTCTGCCTGCAGGGTCTCAAGGCCAGGCCATGTGCGGGCCAGGAGCATAGATGGAGGTCTGGTGCTGAGTCAGGGCTGGGATCCTATCAGCTGGGTATTTACTGAGCAAAGTTCAGCTAGGCAACATTGCGGATCCGGGTTTAATGTATACCCAGGCTTCCGGGCTTTTGATTCAGAGGCCAGGTCTGTAGGGCCCTTATCAATGGATGATAATGGAGTCCCCACGTGTGTCCTAAGGGCCAGTGCTCCTTGCTCCTGGTGGCTGACCCAGGCCTGCCCTCCAAGGGCCCAGGGCCCTGTGCTTTAGGCCTTCTGAGTAGGCAGATTGTCACTGCCCAGCCATGGCTGCTTTTGGGCAGCTCTCCCAGGCCAGGAAGAGCCCTGTGTTTTAATGTGGTGCTTTGATAACAAAAGGCAGAGGGAAGCTTCTATCAGAAGCCAGGCTGGGCACTCTCTGGCCTAGGGCACAGGGGTAGCCACTGGGTATTGTTCTGTGTCCTGGGGGCCATGGAATACTGGGGAGCCGTCCATGGCAGCCCATTCCAGAGGTCCAGGAGAGACAAAGGAAGGTGAATGGCCGCACATTTTAAATAGTCATCCAACCAATTAATTAATAAATAATTTACTGAGCTGTTTATGGACATGCTACTTGGGAAGATATAGAGAAATAAAGTACAATATCTCACCTTGAGAAGTTTAAAATCTAGTTTTGGGCATAAGAGACTTATACCAAAAGGATTACTTACATTACCTAGAGGACCGCACATTTATTGAATGCTTACTCTGTGCATGAGTTTTATACTAAGCACATGCTATAATTTCCATTTACTGTGTCAGTGACTCCTTACAACATTCCTTCAATAAGAAATTTCCCGTAAGAGGCACAGAGAGGTTCAGTAACTTGCCGAGGATCACAGAGCTAGAATGTGTCAAGAACATGTTTTGAAGCTTGTGCCACCTGACTCAGAGTCCTTGCTCTTAGGCTGTCCTTTGCTGCCCCCTATAATGAATACTAACCACGTCTGGAAGTGTTTAAGAGGAAGGAGGAAGTACAGGAGGAAGCAAATTCTGTGGGCTGCAGTGGCCAACCAGGAGGGCTGCACTAGTCTTGGGTCAGGAAGAATCAAAGGGTTGAGGACAGTGAGAGGGAATCCTGACCACGGAATCTCAAGTAAGGAGGAGGAGGTGAGAAATGCAAGGAACATGGAGAGAAGTCTAGGCAGACCTTATGGCCAAAGTCAGGGTTGATATAGTGGTTAGTGTGCTAAGTGGATAGAAAAATGGTTGAGATCACACTGTGGAGGACTTTTCAATTCCAGACTAGGCTGCCAGGCCTTAATTGCCTGGGTAGAGGGGAGCCATAGAAAGTTTGGGGCAGGAGGAGTGACAACACTGAGAGAAATATTCTAGGAAGCCTCATGTGATCCCCTGCATTAGGCATGACTTAGATGAGCAGGCAGGCCCTTGGGGAGAGTGGGCACAGTGGGGCAGGGGCTTGTCTGAGGGGACATGAGCACCAGTGACATTGCTTTCTTGCAGCCACAGCTCCAGAACAAGCCCCAGCCCCGCCCCGGCCATACCAGGGCGTCCGTGTGAAGGAGCCGGTGAAGGAACTGCTCAGGAGGAAGCGTGGCCATGCCAGTGGCGGGGCAGGGGTCACATCTACTGCGGTGAGGGGCCACTGTGGCCAGTGGTGGGCTGGGGTTCGGGGAGCCAAGGGGTAAGGGAAGATTGTACTTCCCTGCTCCATGGGATACTCACTGAGGCCACGAAGGCAGCTCGTTGCTGTGGTGCGGCTGCTGGAGAATGGACGGAGAGTAGAACAAGGCCGCGGTCCCTTGACATGGAATGAGGGGTATGGGCTGGCTGACTTGACCTGTTGAACTAAGATGTTGCCAGGGCACAAGTGAGCAAGTGACACACACATGCTGGTGTGAGTTGGGGGCTCCCCATGGGAAGAGGACAATGCCAGTTCCCTAAATGCACAACTCTCTTGCTAAAGGAAACAGGAATCCCTCAAAAGTATAGGTGGTGATGGCTGGGACATGGGTTGGGTGTTTTGTTCTAACAAGAGAAATTCTCCTATGCTCTCCTTCTCTGGGGCTCTCTGGGCTGGTATCCTGCAGAGGTCTAATTGGAGATGGCTTATCACTAATCCTGGTTTTATCTTCTTCCCTTTAGGTGGTGTTGCCACATCAGCCCCTGGCGACCTACACCACAGTGGGTAAGAGCTCCCCTCAGCCCTGGCCTCCTCCAGGCCCTTCACCTGGGTGACACCAGCAGCCCTGTAATTTCCTTCTCCCCACAGGTCCTTCCTGCCTTGACATGGAGGTCTCTGCATCCACAGTATCAGAGGAGGGGGCTCTGTGTGCTGGCTGGCTTTCCCAACCCGCCCCAGCCACCCTCCAGCCCCTGGCCCCATGGACGCCCTACACTGAGTATGTGTCCCATGAGGCTGTCAGCTGCCCCTACTCAGCTGACATGTATGTGCAGCCCATGTGCCCCAGCTACACAGTAGTGGGGCCCTCTTCCGTGCTGACTTACGCCTCCCAGCCGCTCATCACTAATGTCACGGTATGTCACACAAAGGCATTGCTGCTCCAACTCATGCAGAGGGCACCCTTTAGAATGTGGGCTGACTTTCTGACCCCTGATCTTCCTTGCTATTGATTCCCAGGATAACTAGGTCATCTAAGCCTACTCTGTGTACCAGGGAGGCCTGCTTTTATCCTCACTGACCTAAAATACCTTTCACAAAGGAGGCTTATAGCCTCCCTTGTCATGCCCAGTGCTGCTGTGGGTTGGGACAGGGCTCCCCTTCTCTTCCCTAAACCTCCTTGGCTGCTCCAAAAGCAGGGCATCTCGTTCACAGGTCTAAGCTTTCAGTGAATGGAGTACAAAGTGAGATCTGGGTGGGGTCTCATGCCAGAGCCATCATTTTCTTTCTATGTATCTAAGATAACTTAGAGGGTGATAGTTCACTTAACAAAGGGATTGTCCAGAAGATTTTTAGGCTAAGCAACAGGTGACACAACTTTGTAGAAAATGACTTTTGATGGAGTGAGACCCACATGCAGTATAATATTTTGCATACCACCTCTAGTGTCAGACTGCCCAAGTTCAAATCCTCACCCCTTCACTTACGACCTGTGTGATCTTGGGCTGAGTGATGTAATTTCTCTGAGCTTCAGTGTCCTCATCTGTGAAATGGGAATACTAACATGATGTCAGGATCAAATGGGACCCTGCATGTTTAGGGCTTAGCATAGTTCCTGGCATACAGAATGCACTCAAGAAATGTTAGTTATTATGATTATCTTAAAAATGACCCACAACATTAACCAAGGGTTGCCTTCAAGTGCCGGACAGGAAAGAATGGGCCTGCTACCTCAGGAATGGAGAAAGGAAGAGAAATAGTTTCATGTGAATGGTACCAGTCCAGCTGAAGGAATAGGAATTCCCCAAGTGTTCAGAGGAGAGCAGGCCTGTGAGTACAGCTATATGTGGCCCCCATCCAAGGAAAGCTGTAGGAGGCAGTGCTGGGGCCCTGTGAGTAGTTGCAGAGCTCCTACTTGATGGTGAAGCTTGCTTTGGTTCCCCATGTCCCCTCCATCTCCCCCAAGGGTCCAGTGTTGCCCTGATGCGCCAGCCCTTCAAGCACTATCCAGGCATGGCCCTGAGGAGCCCTCCCCCACCCGGCCCACCTGGCTGCCAGCAAACCAGTTGTGGTGCTGACAGATGGTAGACAGGAAGGAGTTAGCTCAACACCTTTTCCTGGGAACTCATTGCCATATCAGGGGGCCTTGGGTGGTGGTGGAGAATGGGGTGGACATAATAGTTCCCAGTTATTTCAATCCCAAGGATTTTTTTCATTGTTTATCCTTTCATCAGCCACCCCACCTTCTGCTTTGAAAGGTTCTGCATATCAAACTGTATGTATTAAGAAATAATTTATTTGTTTTGCCACTTTGTAAATTAACTCATCAAAGCTGGTTAGAGCTACTAATCAGCATTCTTAGTCAGCAGGAGATAAAGACGTATTATAGCACAGGGTTGGTGTACTTCTATCCCTGAGTATAGACAGACCTCAACAGGTTTATGACTCTAAAAAGTAGGATCCCCATTTGGATTTTTGAAACACTGAAATAATAAGGCTTTGTTGGGAGGCTGGAAGGCCTCTGAGACCCTTTCTCAACTCCATCATTCTACAGAAAAACACCCTGAAGTCTCACTACTCAAACTAGCACAGCTGCACAGGTATCACCTGGGATCTGATGGCAGGATCCCAGCTCCATCCCCACTCCCAGGCATCTGGGTACCAGAAAAGATCCCAGAGACTGAAATAAACTCTTCCCTAATGACTCTCATTGTTTATTCTCAAGGCAGAGTGGCAACTGGAGAGAGAGATGATGGGGGCAGCAGGGGCAGCAGGGGGAGATTTGGGCCTTTCTTGCATCATTCTATGCAGGGACCTTCCTCTTCCACCTGCTTCCTTAGCTGTGGAAGATAGTTTGGGGTCTGCCTCTCTTGCAGGCTTGTAGGGTGGTCATTGAGAAGGCGAGAGGTATTGTTTGTAGTGCACCTGAGAAAATGCTCCTGACCTTTGGAGGTCCCTGGGAGAGCCATGGGAGGCCTGGCCCAGAGGTGGAAGGGGATGAGCATTTGGAAGCCTCTAGCAGCTGTAAGGGAAGCCAAGTCCGTCAGCAGAGCAGGGCTTCCCTGGTCCCCAGGTCTGGCCTGGCACCCCTGTGCCATTCACCACCAGAGGGGTTGGAAGGTGAGGGATGCTGGCTCACGTGGACCTTGGGATGCCAAAGCTGCTTTATGGGGACAGGATTGTCCTCGTGTCTGGCAGGACAGCAGCCACTTTGTGATAGAGCTACTATGCTACACAGCAGGCTTGCTGTTAAACATGCTGTATTTTTATTGATTTTTCAGATGTACATTTTTCCCCCACATTTTAATATCTCTGAAATCAGGACGCATCTTATATTTAATGAAATCTGGAAAAGTATCTCTAATTCACTCAGCCCTGTGCTGTTAGTCTTGTTTGTGACCTATGTTACAGATGAGAAAATGGAGGAAATAGCATAAAGCAAAAACAAATAGCTAGTGAGTGACAGAGTCAGGATTCCAGGTAAAGTCCTGCTTCTTCCTTTGGGGAGGCGTTGAGCAGGGGGAGGTGGAGCGCCTTAGAGGGAGGCAGCAGGAAAGGGCTGAGTTGAGGGGGAAATAGTGACCCTCATGAGGACAAGGATGGGCAATGGATGCCCCAGGGCTGCTAACCCTCAACCTTGTGTCTCCCCATCACAGACGAGAGCTGCCGCCACACCAACAGTGGGGCCACAGCTGGAGGGGCCCGAGCACCAGGCGCCCCTGACCTATTTCCCATGGCCTCAGCCCCTGTCCACGCTGCCCACCTCCACCCTTCAGTACCAGCCTCCAGCCCCAGCCCTGCCCGGGCCCCAGTTTGTCCAGCTCCCCATCTCCATCCCCGAGCCAGCCCTTCAGGACATGGAAGACCCCAGGAGACCCGTCAGCTCCCTGACCATCGACAAGCTCCTTTTGGAGGAGGAGGATAACGACGGCTACACGCTCAACAACCCGCTGTCTGTGGAAGGCTTTTAGGGCTGGCTCCCACCTGAGAATCCTGTCCCTGAAACTGGGATTTTAAATTGAGCCTGGAATTCATCCTCAGATTCATATTTGTTTGGAGTAGTCATTTCATTACCACACTTTCTATTCAAACTAAAACTGTAGACTTTCATTCCTTCCTTCCTTTGTCCCTCTCTCCCTCCCTCCCTCCCTTCATCCATTCCAGCCTCCCCCCTTCCTTTTCCTTTCCCATTTCTTTTTCCATTTTGTTCCTTTCTGAGTGGGAATTACAAGGATTTTACAGATAATACTGATGTCAAGTGTTGCAAATATGTGAAGCAGATGTTTTTATTTCTGCCATGCTTGCTCCCTGGAGAAGGCCCCTTCAGAGTGCCTGCTGTTTTAGCGCAGCCACAGGCCTGCTGAGCTGTCCTGGGGTCAGTGCAGCCCTGCCCTCTGTCATTCTGTGGTTCGTGGGGTGACCTGCAGGAAGGTCGGTCCTGCCATTCCTCCAGGGCCAGCCCGATGCCGGAGTCCTGGAGCTGTGGGTCACCAGGGCTGCTCCTTTGTTTGCAGTTCAGAGCACTGGCCAGATTTACAGTCTAGGCAGCAGAGTTTCAAGGCCTGGGGCTCAGCGAGATGGGGGTTTGGGTGGGGGACAAAAAAGAACAGAGTGGGTAGGGGCAGGGACAGGAGGGATGGGAATGTGGGGGACAAAGGAGGGAAAGGTTGGGTTTTGGGGGGATAACGGGGGCTGAGGAATGGTTTAGCTCCAGATTACTTGGTTATTAAGAAGGCAAATAAACTCAAGAAAACTGTTACTTTAGTAGGTGGTTTTGCTGTTTTCCTTGAACATACTTGCAGGAAAAGCTGAGCTCTAGTGAAGAGGGTGATTGAAGCGTCTGACTGCTTCTTCCCACGTCAGGACCCTCTGTGGAGCTGTGTGGAGGCTGAGACTCAGCAACACCCAGCAGTGGCAGGGGTCTTTGCTTAGTGCTATCACACGTGCTTCTTTAGTGTCTTAAAAGCCATGAAGCCAAGGCCTGCTCTCCAAGCACCATCCTCCCTGGCATCTTCTAGGGCCTTAGCCAGAAGCACCATTTTTATTTTTATTTTTTTACTGGAGAAACTTCAGATCTGCAGGGTCTTGACCACAGTGTCAGTGGGGGTGCTTCACTCCTGACGGTGGCTGGGTGCTGTAAGAGCTGGCACATCATCTGCTATAGACACCACTGTCGCGGTTAGGCAGCTGCATTTGTTGTGAAATTCATGCAGAAGTAATGGACTTTTCTGGGAAATGACAATTTCAGTGGCACAATTTCTTTGCCATTTTATATAAAATCTCCAGAGAAGTTACTTTTTTATGGATTTTTTTCTGTGAATCTATTTTGATTCATATTCTCAGTATCTGCTGGAACTCCCAATACAGATATCTTGAGTTACTTTTATTCAGACTTAAATTTTAGATTTAAAAGCTTCCAATTTTAGATAACAAACTTACATCTCTGTTGGTAGCAATGGTGAGTAGTCAAGGGAGATGGGATCTCAGTCCTGTTTAAAAGCCCTAGTTTTCTATTAAAAACCCCGTATGCAAGAGTTTCCAGCTTATTATTTGAGGATCTGAGAGCATGCAGAAACAATCTCCATAAGTTTAAATTGGCAAAAAAAACTACCAAAACAAATAAAGTTCTTTAAGTATTTCTTAAGATTTAAATGGTGTATTTTATTCTTTCTTATTTGAGGTAAAATGTCTCAGCTGCAGTAGCCCCTCTAGTTTTCTTCCTGGATTTTTCTACTAAGATGGCAACATTTTCAATGAGGATTTGCTCAGACTTTTCTGTGCGGAAGTATTTTATATCTTATCAAATAAAGCCCCCTTAGTTTTCAGTCTCTTGTCAGGCAGTGTCATTATAGGAAGACGCTTACACTAGTCTTACTGATTTTGCAACTTGATCTGCTGCAAAGGAAGATAAACCACTGCACTCTGCCTGCAGGCCAGTTCCCCCAAGCAGAACAGGCAAGGCCATAGAGCTTGGTCTCCAGGAGAGCAGGGATCTGAGGAGAGGAAGGAAATCTTTTTAATTCTATTGTTCTTCCTGTTATTCATGTTAAATGAGTGAATCCTCATGATGCTGCATGTCCAGGGATAAGTTCAACCACTGGCATTTCCACTAGTCTCAACCCAGGAGCATGTGACATGCTGCCTATGTGCAGAGGAAGCCATCTCCTAGGGGCAGACATCACAATAAAATGGAGATTCAAGAAGCCATCCAATCCCCTCTAACACCAGTCCCTGGAGTGAGTAACAGTTTGAAGGGAATCTCCTTTTCCTGGTGGTTTTCTGAACTCACTGCCCTCATTGCTAATTTTTACTAGGGTAATTGTATTTTTAATGATCCAGCTTATTCTGCCACTTGTTTTGTTTCCAGATGTTTGGAGACAATAATATGTCCAGTTACTTAGCTCACTTTGGACTGTCACCACCATTTTCTTTTTTCTTATTCTCTATGAGGATCATAAGGCAGAAAAAAAGACATGGAAGGAAAGGAATTGAGGGTTTTTTTCCTCCAGCTTTACTGAGGCTCAAATGTAGGAAAAAATGTTTTAAAAGTGCACTTTGCATTACTCAGCCTCTTTTGTGATAGAAGTGTGGCCCTCCTGGTCTGCAATGTGAAGAGAGTGGCCAGCTTGTTGTAGATTGGTGCTTTACAGGTTCTGATCCATAGCCTGTCCATTTCCAGCATGAAACAGGGGAGAGAGTATGTGGAAATATGAATATGTGGAAATATGAAGAAGCTGGACATCTACAAAATAATATAATCACTGACCAAGTTGCTCAAATGTTCCGAACATTAGTGTGTACCCATCATTAAGTGGAAGTTTGAAGACATGTTCAAAGCTAAACATGAATTTCTTGAAATCAGAAATCATAGATAATATTTTGTAGTAACTTATTTGTAAATCAAATATGAGGCATTCAATAGTTCCCCATTGCATTGAAATAATTTGGGAGATTCTCTATTACATTCCATTTAGGAAGTACTGATATAGATTTTTGTAATTGATTAAAGTCTCCTTTATTAGATTTACAGACACATGGTGCTTCTCAAATGTTTTTTCTGAATGCTTAGAAACTTTTATAAGCTGTTGTTCACAATCTATTTGTCAGTTCTTCCATGGACAGTTATGGCTTCTGTGTAAGGGTTTGAAATTATTTTTATTAAAATTTTTTAATTAAATTAAATTAAATTAATTAATTAAATTAAATTAAAAAATTTTGGTAAGAACATTTAACATGAGATCTTCCTTCTTAACAGATTTTTAAATGTATTGTTAAACATAGGCACAATGCTGTACATCAGAACTCTAGAACTTATTCATCTTGAATAACTGAAGTGTTATATCCATTGATTAGTAATGCCTCTTTTCCCACCCCCACCCCCAGCCCCTGGCTACCACCATTCTATCCTTTGCTCCTATGAGTTCAATTATTTGAACTATCTTATGTAAGTGTAATCATGTCCTTCTATGACTGCCTTATTTCACTTAGCATTATGTCCTCAGTAGATAAACAAAATGTGATATACATATACAATAGAATATTATTCAGCCTTAAAAAAGGAAATCCTGCAATATGGTACATCAGTGAACTTTGAGAAGGGTGAATTTATTGAATATGTATTACTGACTGCCAATTCTGGGCTAAGCAGGCATAAATTATTACAGATTTGTGCTTTGAAGTAGTTTTCTATCTTAGTGATCTCTTTGTAGTATTAGTATCCATTCTTATATACGTATATTTAGTTATTTATAAATCATATCCCTGAACTACTCCATGAATATAATATCTATTATAAGACAGTGACAATAATGGAAATTTTAAAGATGAAGTGAATTATATAAAATAGATAATATTTTAACTAATGATTTCATTTATTAATAGTATAAAAGTCCTTTGACCTCATTAACTACAAATAATTTAGAAGAAGAAATGTTACTGAATATGTTTCATTCCTTTTTAAAATCTTTGTGATATACTCAGATATAATAGTCTAAATTAAAACACTCAAAGTATTTGGAAAATTTTTAAACAATCTGAAAACATTTTACTTCTACCCTTTTTTTTTAAAGTATGAAAATAAGAGAGTTTTTGTAGTTGACACACACATGTTGCTGTTAGCAACGATATCACATGATGACAGAAACATTCCTAAACATCTACTAAATTTCCACTTTCTAAGTGTTTTCCCTATTGTATAAGTTTTGAAAAGCACCATTAAAATGTCATCTTTACCTTGATGGACCAGATTAAATGCAAATTCTGTTTGTTTTAAAAAAAATCTGTAGGTAGCATATTTTGGACAGTCAACTTATCAACCAAAAAAATGTCAACAAGCAGTATGATTATATTTGTATTAAGAAATATATATGTATAAAATTTATTTTTAAGTTAGACAGTTCTTTGAAGTCTTTTGCCATGAGATAATCAGTGATTCTCTTTGTGGTACAAAAGTCTCATTTCCATATAAATATTGTATCATTTTGTCTGTAAAGGTGTGTGTCTGTAAGGCTAATCACACTGACAATCATCCTGTAAACCTCCGTAGGTTGCAATATGATAGAAGTGAATGAACTGAACGAGGGCACCCCTACCATCTCCCCTCCTCTCATGTATAACTTCCTTTTGTTCTGGAGACACTCTCAGAACCACGGGTCACACATAACGAAGGGGGCGGCAGGTTAATCCACACTGGGGTGACAGTCCATCCTGGTTTTCTGGGACTTCGCTGGATTTGGCATTGAAAGTCTTGAATTTGAGGAAATCCTTCAGTCCTGGGCAAACTGGTATATATGGCCACCTCAGTCAATATATTAAATACAAATAGATCTTAATTTCTTATAAATTAGTAGTTTCTTTCTGTGCCCCCAATGGATTGTCTCATACAATCCCTAGGATACATGCACCCCACTCTGGAGTTTGTATTAGAGATTCTTGCTTGCAAGTGTTCTCCCTAAAATCTCCTCAGGGTACTTCATGAAGGAAGCTGCCTCGGGCCTGAAGAACCCACCATGATGTGTCTTAAGTCAGCACCAGCTCTGGGAACACCAGTGGTTCTGCCAGAAATGATCCTC